CCCCAAAACCCCAAAACCCCAAAACCCCAAAACCCCTCTCGTTGTCCAGTTATAGATAAATATAAGGAATCAGAGTAAATAATAAATAATAAATTCTTGATAACGAAAATGATTAGTAGCAGCCATCTACTTAACCATAAATATGGACAACTTTCCTCTATCGGTTTGAGCATATGTGATTTACAAAACCTAGCTGAAATCATGCAGGACTCTTATACGTCAAAGCTAAAGTCTATTGAAGAGAGTCAAGAAGAGGTATATAAATACCAAAATACCGAACAAATAGGAGACTTAGTAAATATTGCCGGAATACCTGCTTATGCTGTGGCCTATAACATATCTCCTCAAAATGCTGATTACTACAATATGGGAGGATTTGAAAATTATTCACAAGGACAGTTCACGAGTTATCAGGCTCCTAACCAAGTTTATGTTATGAATAATATACTACCAAGTTTCTACAACAGTCAGCATATCTCAGACCATGAAATACCAGAATCGACGAATTGTTCCAAAAAGACTGCTGTTGCTACTTCTGATGACCACAAAGCCGGAGCTTTACCAAAAACTGGAGTAATTTCAGGGACCAAAATCAGTTTACTCCGAAAAGTTTTAGAAGGCATCCACGACGATCACCAAATCCTGATTACATCTAAGCCAAAGAATAAATCGAACAAAATCAGGAAATCAAACCGTCACTCCAGTTACAGAGGAGTCTCTTTGAATGGGAAAAAGTGGCAAGTCATGATCATGGGTCCAATGAAGAAGAAATATTTCGGAGGAATTACTACAGAAAGAGAAGCTGCTGTTTTCTACGATAAACTCTCCATCTTGACAAATGGTCTAGCTGCCAAGACCAACTTTAACTACAGAAAATCAGACTTGATTAAAATGATGGCAGAATTAGAGTACATGGAATCTCAGCTTTCCTAAGTTTATCGGAGGCTGCAGAGACTATGTAATATTGGCTTACACGCCAGATCCCTTACCATTATCTCTTATCTTTTTAAATAAAGAATCTACAAAAAGCCGTGTGTCTCACCGAATAATTTATGTTATTAGTATTTCAGTATTGAGATATGATAATGGGGTTTTGGGGTTTTGGGGTTTTGGGGTTTTGGGGTTTTGGGGTTTTGGGG